CCCCCATAACCCCCGTTCCTGGCTGTCCTTTCACATCCCGTCTCCCCTCTCAGCTCGGTGTCCGGGCTGAAGCAGACACTGCTGGCGGAGTCCGGGGATCTGACCAGCTACAGCCACCGGGTGTTCTCGGCCTGGAACTTCGGCCTCTGCGGGGACGTCCACGTGCGGCTGCGCCAGCGCATTATCTTGTACGAATTACAGGTGCGATTAGGGGGCGGGGTCTGCAACGGGGTAGGGACCAGACTGAACCGGGCTGAGATAACGCACAGGGCCTAACCCGGTAATGGGCCTCCGGAGAGACGCTAGGCAGCTCCTTCTCCAAGAAAGGCCAGTCCTGGGGAATGAGAGGGTTGAGAGGAGGCCGCGATAGGGCTGCCCGAGATCCAAGGGTGTAGGAAAAGGATGCGCCAAGGCTGGGATCGGTGGCTCATGCTCGTAACCCCAGCACTTTGGGAGACCGAGGCAGGTGGATCGCTTGAGTCTAGGAGTTCGACACCAGCCTGGGCAACATAGGGAGGCTGCCTCTCTACCAAAAAAAGTAAGCACAAGAAGCGGGCGGGGCTTTAAGGCAATTTGGTTCAAAGTTAAGTGATGGGAGCGGCCAGCGGGGCGTCTTGATATACATGAACTGGAACTTCAGGCCAGGCATACAGCGCAGGGCCGCCTGGGGGCAGAGCCTCTGATGGGCGGGGCTGACTAGGGGCGGGTCTTGGGGGCGTTGGGCGGAGCTTCGGGGCGGGGCCCGGGGTGCTGAGATTGGTCGCGCAGGGATGGGGGCTGGGGTTGCTGGATCCGGCCGCGGAGGGGCAGGGCTGTAAAGGGCCACTGGTTTCTTAGAGCGCCCCGGAGCGGGTGGAACCGGGACTGCAGAGGTTGTTAGCTGGTGGGGAGAAGGATGCATCAGTTCACGTTGAGGAGGATCTCTGGAGAGCCTGGGGAACCCAGAGGCCAGGGCCTTGGGAAATGGAGTCCAAGCGGGCATCTCTCGTGCCTTCAGGTGGAGCTGGAGGAGACAGTGGTGCGGCGCCAGGCTGCTGTGCGGACTCTGGGCCAGGAAGCCAGGGTTTGGTTGGTGCGGGTGCTGCTCAACCTGCTGGTGATCACACTCCTTGGGGGAGCCTTCTATGGCATCTACTGGGCTACAGAGAGCACCGTGGCGCTGCAGGTGCGGAGGATCTTGGAAGAGGAAGCCGGGGGGTCCTGGAACCTACATTTCCAACGATGGAGGGAGGGAATGGAAGTTTGGGATGCCAGAGATCTTACAGAGGAAGTATGGGAGAGGGTATGTTTGGACCCTGGACTTCGGGGTTTTAAAGGAAGAAGAGAGACTGGGCGCGGTAGCTCACGCCTGTAATCCCAGCACTTTGGGAGGCTGAGGTGGGGGGATCACGAGGTCAGGAGTTCGAGACCAGCCTGACCAACATGGCGAAAATCCATCTCTCCTAAAAATACAAAAATTAGACGGGCGTGGTGGTGCACGCCTGTAATCCCAGCTACTCAGGAGGCTGAGGCAGAAGAATCACTTGAACCCGGGAGGCGGAGGTTGCAGTGAGCCAAGATTGCACCACTGCACTCCAGCCTGGGTGACAGAGCCAGACTCTGTCTCAAAACAAACAAAGAAACAAAACAAAAACAAACAACAAAGAAGAGGTCTGGGGGAGGACCTTAAGCTTAGCTCCTCCAGGACTCCAAGCCTCTACTCATGGTCCACTCCCTCTCCCAGGAGACGTCCCTTGTTCAGCAGTTCCCACTGCTGAAGCTTGTGGTGAATTACCTTCCGTCCATCTTCATCGCTGTGGTCAACTTTGTGCTGCCGCCCGTGTTCAAGCTCATTGCTCCACTGGAAGGCTACACTAGAAGTCGCCAGATCGTTTTTATCCTGATCAGGTTCCAGCCTCATGGGGATGGCTGGGAATGATGGAGGGTCGGGGCGGTCAGAGGGATGTTGGCGCTGACAGGTAAGACAAGGAAATCCTGCTGATATCGGATCCAGGGATTCAAATCCTGACTCCGCTGGCCAGGCGTGGTGGCTCAGACCTGTAATCCCAGCACTTTGAGAGGCCGAGGCTGAGAGGCCGAGGCTGAGGTCAGGAGTTCAACACCAGCCTGACAAACATGGTGAAACCCTGTCTCTAGTAAAAATACAAAAGTTAGCCCGGCGATAGTGGCTTCTGTAGTCCCAGCTACTCGGGAGGCTGAGGCAGGAGAATCGCTTAAGCCTGGGAGGTAGAGGGTGCAGTGAGCTGAGATCGCGCCACTGCACTCCAGTCTGTACAAGTGAGACCCTGTCTCAAAAAAAAAAAAAAAGAAAGAAAGAAAGAAAGAAAGAAATCCTGACTCTGTCGCTGGGCCTCAGCTTCTTCATCTGTGAGAGGGCTTGAATGTTGAATGCGAGCGCGTTCCACGGAGAAGGGGACTGCCACGTGGTGGGTACCGGATCAGGGCCCATTCTCTGCCTTCCCCCCGCCAGGACCGTGTTTCTTCGCCTGGCCTCCCTGGTGGTCCTGCTCTTCTCTCTCTGGAAACAGATCACTTGTGGGGGCGACTCCGAGGCTAAGGACTGTAAAACTTGTGGCTACAATTACAAAGAACTTCCGGTGAGAACGGCATGGGGTCTGCCTGGGACTCCTGGGTCCCTGAAGGAAAGATGGAGCTGGGTGGGTCCAGACTCTTGGTTTGGGCGGAGAGGGGAGCTCAGGATGCTGGAACACTCTCCCATGGGTATGAATGTTTGAAAAACGAGGACCCCCCAGAGAAAGTATTGACAGGGTCTCATAGGCTTGCGATGTGGAGACTTGGACGCGTGGGCCTCCAGGTGCTCGGGTCCTGAGGTCTTTCTGACCTATTTCTTCCTTCTTCAGTGCTGGGAGACTGTCCTGGGCCAGGAAATGTACAAACTTCTGCTCTTTGATCTGCTGACTGCCTTGGCAGTCGCGCTGCTCATCCAGTTTCCTAGAAAGTGAGAGCCCCGCCCCTCGCTGTGGCCCCGCCCCACTAGGACCAGGCCCTGCCCCATCGCGCTGTTCTTTTCACCGTGCACCTTTTTACTGTTCCCGCCTCTGCCGGCTCCCTTTGCTTGCCCTAGGTCCGCAGATCTCCCCCACTCCCCGCCCTTGTTTTAGTGGGTTACTTCCCTGGGGCCCCGCCCCTACCGCCGCGACACCTGGGTTCAGTCTAGTCCTCTGGACACACCCTCTCCATGTGGAGTCTTGAAAGTCCCGCCCCTCCTAGATACGCTTGCTTCCTATTGGCGGGCAGGGCGGTGGGGCGGGGAAACTCCAAGTCGCCGCGCCCCTGACTCGGGCCCGGCCCCGCCCCGTCCTTCAGGCTCCTCTGTGGCCTCTGTCCTGGGGCGGTGGGTCGTCTGGCGCAGACCCAGGAGTTCCAGGTGCCCGACGAGGTGCTGGGGCTCATCTACGCGCAGACGGTGGTCTGGGTGGGGAGTTTTTTCTGCCCTTTGCTGCCCCTGCTTAACACGGTCAAGTTCCTGCTGCTTTTCTACCTGAAGAAGGTAAGGGGTAGGGGGACTCTTGGGTCTGAGGCAGGAGTATTGAGATCCACATTCTGGGTCCTGGGCAAGGAAGATCTGGGGGCCTGGATCCTGCCCTAGGTCCTAAGAAAGTGCGGAGGACAGACTCCTGGATCTGAGAGAAGGAGGAGTCTAGGGCATTCGGCTTCTATGTCTGAGGATCGGGGGACTTAGACCTATGGGGTCCTAGATGAGGAGAGAGGAGCTCAGACTCCTGGTTCGGGAAAAAGGAGGAGAGGCAAGTAGGCCGGGCGCGGCGGCTCACGCTGCCGTCCCAGTACTTTGGGAGACTGAGGCGGGTTTATCACCTGAGTCAGGAGTTTGAGACCAGCCTGGCTAACATGGCAAAACCCCGTCTCTACTAAAAATACAAAAAAATTTAGCCGGGCTTGAGTGGCGCGCCTGTAATCCCAGCTACTTGGGAGGAAAGCTGGGGCAGGAATTGCTTGAACCAGGGAGGTGAGAGGTGCAGTGAGCCTAGATCGCGCCACTGTGTACTCCAGCCTGGGCGGCAAGTGAGACTCCGTCTCAAAAACAGAAAACAAAAACAACAGCGAAACCAAATTGCCGGGAGTGGTGGTGCACACTCAGCTACTTGGGGCTGAGGCAGGAAATAGCTTGAACCCGGGAGGGAGGCGGCAGTGAGCACCATTGCACTCCCGCCTAGGGCGCAGGCGACACTGTCTCAAAAAAAAAAAAAAAAAAAAAAAAAAGAGCACATACTCTTGTTGTTTCAGATCCCCTTTCTCCGTGCCTTGCCCTCACCAAAAGCCACCCTTTTCTCCCACCTGTTCTCCGGCTGCCCTTTGCTTCCACAGGCCTCCGGCGAATTTCTTTCCCCTTGGTTCTTCTCCTGGGTCTGGCCATCTCCAGCGTTCCCCTGCTTTACAGCATCTTCCTGTAAGTGCGAGAGGTTCCCGCCCTCTCTCCTCCTCTCCCCACAGTCAGTGTTCAGACTCCTGGCTCTACGTGAGTAGCCTGTCTTGACTTCAGGATCCTGCCTTCTAAGCTGTGGTCCATTCCGGGGCAGTGGGCCATCTGGGCCCAGATCCTGAGACTATTTCCAGCCTCCTGAGACCACCAGGCTCTTCTTCCTGGGGTTGAAGTTTGCTGTAGCCCCTTCTGCTGATCTCCAGGTGAGTGGGTCAGACTTCTGGAGTCTGGGTTTGAGTGCGTGTGATCTGGGGACCTACCTGCGTCAAGAGAGGAAAGGCAGGAGTGGGAGCAGGCAATGTACTGAGTCTGAGGAGGTCTAGGCTCCTGGACTGCTGGGTCCGAGAAGGGAGGAGGTAGGCAGGATTTAGGACTCCTGGATCTGAAGGCGGAGGTGCTGGGAGACTGAACTCCTTGGGCCTGGACAAGGAGGGGCTTAGGGATCCACATCCCTGTCTTCGAAAAGAGCGTGTCAGGAGTGGCTTCCCGTTCCTGTCTCCTCTAGCATCCTGATAGCGTACACTGTAGCTCGGGCTAACTCCTACGGACGCCTCATCTCTGAGCTCAAGCGTCAGAGAGACGGTGAGCCAGGCGGGTCCCAGAGGAGCCCCTGGGAACACGGAAGGGTTGGGGAAGAGGCCGCCACCCACCTCCACCTCTCTTTGCCCCAGGAGCGCAGAATAAAGTCTACCAGCACGGCGCGCTGTGGCGTGGCCTCACCCAAACCTTACGGCTCTTTGACCCGCAACTCGTCCCTTTCAGACCCCAGGCCCATTGTAAGCCTAGATCACAACATCTGTAAACTAGGAGAACTGGAGAAGACTCCACGCCCTTCCGGCTTTGGTAACTGGAGATTCCCAGGGCCCCTCGCCGCCACGTCCCTGACTCTTGGGTGATCTTTCTTGTATCAATAAATACAGCCCAGGTTGCTGAGCGCGCTTTGAAATCTGTGTCCTGAAGGTGGAGGCAGGGCTACCATGGTGCAGGAGCCAATCAAATGCTAGGCATGTTTGTAGCCGGTGTGCAGCGCTCTTCCCGCAAAAAGAACTTGACTGTCATGCGACCAATCCACGGCCGCATCTGGTGGCATGAAGGCGGGCCAACATGATTGGTTCAGATCTGTGTGATAAGAGGCGGTTGCTAGGGGACACCACGAAGCAGACGCCTGGCCCATTCCTGTGAAAAGGACGTCTCAGCCAATCACCTGTCGTTACAGGCCAGGTGGTGTTCAACTAATTCGGAACAATCTGTGGTGAAGAAGGGGACAAGAGGAAGAGAGGCATCCTCTCGCCTATCGGAAGTGCAAAGGAGCTGGTGTGCCAGTCCTGGACAGCTCACGACGCCATGAATATCTTGCCCAGAAGAGCGCACGCGTCCAGAACAAGGACATGTCGCCGCGTGCGGGCAGGGCCCCAGGTCAGGAGGAGGAGAAGGAGCGTGAGGCGGAGGGTGCTGCTCGCTCAGCAAAAGGGAGTAAGCTCGGAGGCCGGCCAGGGTGGCCCCTCTGGAGCCCAGCAACGCACGGCGCCCGCGATTGGGGGCAGCGGAGGCGCGTTGCCAGGCTCAGTGTGCAGTGAGGTCGGGGCCAGGCATAATCCCGTTTTCGAGGGACGTTGCCCTGCAAACCTTGTGCCCGCTTCCCACGAAACCTCCCTTGATCTCGCGCCGTCTTAGTTTCCCCCACTGATGTATTTCACATGGCTGGAACAGTGTCTAGCACAAAGAAGCTTAAAAACGTTTAATGAATACATGAGCAGCATGGACAGTTCAAAGAAGTGTGGATCACTTTTTAATTTGCCTGCACAGCCTATTTATTGAGCACCTATTGTATGCTAACTACATGCAGAGCGCCTGACTTGCGGAATCCCAATAGGCACTGTTCCTTCCAGAGGCACTGTCATCGCCATTGCACAGTGGTAAGGATGGCTTCAGTGAGAAGGCACATTTAAGGAGAAGTGGACAGCCAGGCTCACGCCATCAGGCGAGCCCTTTCCCTGCACTGCTCTAGACACATACACAAACACGGGCTTTCTGTATAGCTCCTTAAATCTGTTTGGTGTACACCCAACTTTCAGTTCCTTAGCTAGTCTGATCCTCCACAGTGGATGGGAGGTAGTCTGGGTTTTTAGAATCTCAATAGGCTGCTGAGCACTGTTTGAAATCCGCGTCCTGAAGGCGGGGGACAGGGCTTCAGCAGTCGACTTCAAGTAGTGACTTGGAGCCATGGCTAGAATTCAGATCGTCTGGCCTAATGCAGTTTGGTCTACCTTTATGGCTGTTTTAATTGTCTCATTTGAGGTTAGGAACCCCTTTGGTTTAGGCCAGGGACCTCCTCCCAGCCATCCTTGATGACCTGTGGTTTACTATTTGAAAGGCAGTTTACAAAACCCAGGCGTTGCCTCATCCTACCCTCACCCCAGCTAGGACAGGTGTCTCTTTTGACCGTCTAGTGCTCCCTTTTTTATAAACCCAGCACCCTGGACTGCCATTTTCTGTGGTGGGCACCAGACTCACAGTTCTTGAATTACCTCTAGGTTCGATACCCTGCCTATAACTTTCCCCAGGCCCGTACAGAATTCCTATGAAAAAGCCAGACATCAGGGCGACTTGGGGTAGTGACTTGGAGCCATGGCTAGAATTCAGATCGTCTGGCCTAATGCAGTTTGGTCTACCTTTATGGCTGTTTTAATTGTCTCATTTGAGGTTAGGAACCCCTTTGGTTTAGGCCAGGGACCTCCTCCCAGCCATCCTTGATGACCTGTGGTTTACTATTTGAAAGGCAGTTTACAAAACCCAGGCGTTGCCTCATCTGCCTACCCTCACCCCCAGCTAGGACAGGTGTCTCTTTTAGGCGTCTAGTGCTCCCTTTTTTATAAACCCAGCACCCTGGACTGCCATTTTCTGTGGTGGGCACCAGACTCACAGTTCTTGAATTACCTCTAGGTTCTGAATGCCCTGCCTATAACTTTCTCCCCAGGCCCGTACAGAATTCCTATGAAAGAAAGCCAGACATCAGAACTCACTGCCTGAGCTTGAAGCAGCAGAGGCGGGAGCCCCAAGTTCTGGCCCTGTGAACCTGTTTCGGGAGCTGCTGGAGGAAGGGAAAGGAGTGATCAGAGGCAATAAAGAGTACGAGGGAGAAAAGCGACAGGAGAAAGTAAGCTGGCCTCACCCACTTCATTAGAGGAGCCATGAATCGAGTTGGGGGGAGAGGGCACTTTAGCCACTGCTTGTGATCAAGGTCAAATGAGAAGGAACACACAGAATTTAGAACCATACCAAAGCATGACACTTAAGAAGTGTTGCCATCTGGGCACCCACAGGGCTTGGAGGTAGATGCTAGAGGTCCCCAGCTGCTAGGCAAACTGCTCAGTTCTC